ACCAACTTTTTGAACACCTGCAAACCACTCAGGTTTATAACTACTTTTACAGGTGGTTACATGATGTTGTTTCAGCCAATCAGAGTCAGCTCAAAATCAATTAAAATAATAATATAAGTTATAGTATAGAAACCGTCTATTATAAGTTATAGTATAGAAACTGTCTATTATAAGTTATAGTATAGAAACTGTCCATTATACAATTATAGCATGGTGATGAGGTCGATACATGGTTTTATCAACCTAGGTTAGCAATATTGACCGAGGACGCAGTCCGAGGTTAATATTGCTAACCTAGGTCGATTAAATAATGTATCGACCGAAATCACCAAGCTACAATAGTTTTATTATTTTAATTGATTTTTTCAAAATTGAAGAAAAAAATGTAAAAAAATATAGTTTTACATTCTTTTTCCCCTTTTTTTTTAGTCACAAATTTTAAAATCAACTAAACAAAAATATCAGAAAAATATTTTTTTTAAATTAAATATCTGCAATAATCGTTTGAATATCTGCAATAATCTTTGATCAACACATAAATTCCAGAATCTATTTATAGCAGGTCAATAACACTTTTACTACCAACCTTTTTGAACACCTGTTCCAGAATCTATTTATAGCAGCTTAATAACACTTGTTCTACCAACTTTTTGAACACCTGCAAACCACTCGGGTTTATAACTTCTTTTACAGGTGGTCACATGATGTTGTTTCAGCCAATCAGAGTCAGCTCAAAATCAATTCAAATAATAATATAAGTTATAGTATAGAAACTGTCTATTATAAGTTATAGTATAGAAACTGTCTATTATAAGATATAGTATAGAAACTGTCTATTAGATATAGTATAGAAACTGTCTATTAGATATAGTATAGAAACTGTCTATTATAAGTTATTGTATAGAAACTGTCTATTATAAGATATAGTATAGAAACTGTCTTTTAGATATAGTATAGAAACTGTCTATTAGATATAGTATAGAAACTGTCTATTATAAGTTATAGTATAGAACCGTCTATTATAAGTTATAGTATAGAAACTGTCTATTATAAGATATAGTATAGAACCTGTCTATTAGATATAGTATAGAAACTGTCTATTTGATATAGTATAGAAACTGTCTATTATAAGTTATAGTATAGAAACTGTCTATTAGATATAGTATAGAATCTGTCTATTTGATATAGTATAGAAACCGTCTATTATAAGATATAGTATAGAAACTGTCTATTAGATATTGTATGTACCACTGAACACCATTTCATACTTCAACATGTTTTAGTTGTAATGAGGTTTATTAACCCTGTAGTCCCAGATGATGCATCACAAAACAAACCTGCCAAATGGAACTCAAATTATGGAGATAAATGTTTTAAAACAGCATTATCATTATCTGATGTATTTTAGACTATTATTTTCCAGTTTTACCTTCATCTCTGTGCCATTCCCAATCACTTGTATACTGTGTTTGGACAAACCGTTGATTTCAAAGGTCATGGTCTCATTGTACTTGATTGCCTGGCGTGGATAAAATGTGATGGTCACGTCAACTGACTGGCCAGGTTGGATGACGCAGGCCTCAAAGTTGTGATGGAGATGGTTGGTCTGGGCGTAGAGGCAGTCCACACTGGAGAGAAAACTTTGTGTTAATCACAGTGCTAACACTAATGTGAGATGATTATGTAATTCTAACAACCCATTTAAATGACATGTTTAACTAGAACTTCAAAGCCTGCTATACTGCATACACATTATACTAGAGTACAAATGAGCCTGTAGAACTTGCCTGTTATTCAATGCTTTTGATAACATCATCACACAACTGTGACCCATAAAGTGGATTTATTAAGGTTGAAAGTTTTTCAAAAAGTAAATTAGTGTATTTTGATCCCCCCGTCCCATCAGTCTATTGCTGAGGTTTGGAGCTGACATACAAAGTCAAGGCTTGTCAATAATTATTGTATGTACATAGCTAGCTTTGACAATATGGACATGTATATCAGAATTGGTTGGAACTGAACCATTTTTAGAATTAGAGGCTTTTAAGAGTTATTGTACGAAAATCATTTAACCAATCAAATTTGGAGAGTCTTAGTAAATAGACACAAATATTGAAGTAACACATTAGCAATAAAACTGACATTTATCATTCTGTTTGTATGCCTAACAAATTTGGTAAAAGAAACAGGATTGTTATTGTATGGAAGCTAATTAACCAATCAGAATCAGGAAGCTCCTTTAACTCTTACAAGAGATCCTAGGAGGATATTGGCACGGTGACCATCAAAGTCATTATCAGATCTACAACAGATGATCTTTTACCTTCTTTACGCTTTATTTTCTTTACAGGGACTATTACCCAATCCCATGTTGGAAATCTTAAACAGGAATCTCGTACATTAACTTAAACCACATATAGGGATTGAACGGCATGTAAAAGAAAATGTTATGCCGGTATGAACGCAAATTGGTTACATCCATATTGCATGAAGCCCTAGTTAGTATTGATGTAACAAATTTGCATTCATATTGGCATGAAAATTAAAAAAACACCGTTCAATCCATATATTTACATTTTAACTATAGAATAATTGTTTAATTTAATTTATTTGTTCTTCAATAATTAATTTATCTACTGTGTTTTGTATATGCATCATCCTTTAAACGACGTTAACTGAACAGCCTCATTTATATAGAATTGGCGCCAATAATAAACTGTAGTCATTTGAGCGTTTGACGCAGGGGCTCTATGTTATACGAAGCGATGGGGTATTTTTGATAAGGGAACCAAGGGAAACATACATAAGAAATTTAAGAAAGACCCCTCCAAACTTCCGTGAAGCTTATTTAATAATTGAAAACAACAAAACTAAACTGTCAAAATCCATTTTGTTGGCCATTTTGTTTATCTGAACAGTCTCATACACATACACAACTAAGGGAAACTACGTATTAAATTTCAGAAAGATCCCATCAGTATTTTGTGAGAAATAGCAATGACAAACCTGAAAGTCAAAATCCAAGATGGCTGCTGGTCAGTCATTTTGTTTATTTACTTTTTAGACTGATGGGTATGCACAACAAAGGACCAAGGGAAACCTACATATGGTAAAATAACATGACCCTGGGCCTTATGGAACTTGAGAAGGAGATTTTTAAAGCTTTTAACCCATGTTGACATTTGACCCCCGACCCCCGACTATAGCACTTAAAGTTGATCTTTGACCTCATTACTGTGAATAAGAAAAATATTCGCACTGCTGGTCTACATAACATACTCAAGTATCATGACTAGTCCAAATGGTTCTTAGGATATTATTGTTTGAGGTTTTTAGCATATTTGACCCTTGTGACCTTGAAACTAGGTCAAGGTCATTTTAATGATGAAACTTTAAAGCACTCCATCCCAGGTACCTACTGGCCAAATATCATGACCCTAGGTGCTCCAGTCTTCAGAAGAAGTTGTTTAAAAGAACAAGAGATTCCAGAGGGATCTTGGCGCCCACCATTGTTCCATCTTCATTAGTTCTTTGTCAGTTCGATCTTTTCTCTTCTTTCCTCTAATCTGTTTGATCGAGTCATGTTAACAGTAAATGCACCTTGAGGTAACTTTTGATCTAAACTTAATACTGATGTGTATGAAAGCCAACCTTCAAAGTGAGTTTGTCATTTCACATATTTACTAGTACAGTACTTAATGTGAAAAAAATAGAATCGATCATTGCAATATGAGAAAGATCTGTTTAGTTCTTCCTTTAGCCATTTTGTTTTTATGATCAGTCTCAAAATATAACATGCACAACGAGGGATCAAGGGGAACCTACATATCAAATTTGAGAAATATATCCCTCAAGTTATTCTTGAGAAATAGTACTAACAAACCTTCAATGTCAAAAATCGAAGATGGCTGTAGGTAGCCATTTTGTTTAACTGATCAGTTTCAAAAGAAAAACATGAACAAAAAAGGACAGTGGGCATTGGCTGGCCCAAAAAATTATTTTTTTGGGCGAGTAAAAAATTTGAAGCACTGGCCCAAATGACATATTGGTGGACCAAATAATTTTGGGATGAAATATTTCCACAGCATTTAACACAATGCTTAAGCTTCAGCACCTTTAAATTACATATAACATGACAATGTTTGTAATATGTAAAACAGAATAAAACATTATATTTTTAATTCTTCAACCCTAGTTAAAACCTGACATGATTCAGGTCTTCCCAAAAAGAAATACACAAAACTTGCACCTCAAAGAAGACACCCTGGCAGTATTTATATAGAAAATCAAAAAAAAATCATCACATTTTCTAAATCACGGACAGTTCGATTCAAACCCAAGTAATGACAACTGAAAAATGTACTGCCCCCCCAGTTAATGTGGAAGGGACTATAATTTCTTTTTTTCATTATTTTTTCAACAGTACCTCAAACTATTTTTGTTGGGCCATTGACTACCTCACTTTTGACAACTTTTAGTAACTCGAGCAAGACTTTGACCGCCATTGGCGAGCAAGCGACTGTCCATGTCAGGCACTGCTGCACAACAAGGGAACAAGGGGAACCTACATATAAAATTTGAGAAAGATCCTCCCGTACTTCCCGAGAAATAGCGATAACAAACTTTCCCTATCAAAATCCAAGATGGCTACCTGTCGGCCATGTTGTTTATCCGATCAGTCTCAAAAATTGCCCTGCACAGCTAAGGACAAAGGGGAACCTACATATAAAATTTGAAAATGATCCCTCTGGTACTTCTTGAGAAATACCAATAACAAGAATTGTTTAAGGACGGACCACGGATGGACGACGGACCACGGACGCAGGGTGATTTGAATAGCCCACCATCAGATGATGGTGGGCTAAAAAAGTTGACGGACAGACGGACGGCGGACGCCGCAGCATGGCATAAGCTCACCTGGCTACAAAACATTTATCCGAAAATTCAACAAAAGGTTTTAATGTGATCGAGACAAAAGGCCTACACTGTCCTTTGGTTGAAATCAGACGAGTTGGTGTTTATTGAATGCAAAATAAAACGTTACAGACAGACTTTTTTTCTGTGGCTTCAACAACAAATTAATATTGGGGAGTAAAACCAACATATATCAGATATATAGCAGGTTACTGTGAGAAATGAGACAAAACCTATATAACTTTTCTTCAATCTCCAGTACGCTAGATGTGAAATGTTGATTATTGTGGAATCACATTTAAAGCCCAAAACTAAATTGCTTATAGTGATACAATATCAGCCTATTTCACATCTTTTTGATAAGGTGAATTAGATGTTCCTCCTCCCCAGTAAAGGCTATCTAGATGAGTAGTGTTTACCTTGACAGGACCACTCTTACCTGATTTCCTTCTTGTCCTTGTTCGTGAGCTTTAGGACCTTATAATGGGCAGGCATTCCTGCACGGTAAATGAAGCAACTGCCAAAGTTACAGGATTGGAAAGAGAAATGGAGTCCGGGGGTGACACCCAGTCCCTCCAGGGCTACGTGGTAGCTTGGACCGTTAGACACCTGTCAACAGATACAAAATATAAAAATGAAAAGAATTTTGAAAAATTTACCTCAAGTTGCAATATTGGGCCCCACCCCTTTGCCCCTTGATAAGTACCATCTGTTTATGCAACAATGATGAGTCCCTCTTGCTCAAGGATGCTCTTCATAAAATTTGGTTAAAATCCTCACAATTATAATGATAAAGACGGATTTTAAAGATTAACCTGGATTTACCCACCCCTCTGTTTATACAAAGTTGAGCCCCTTTTGCCCATGGATACTTCAAGCCAAATGTGGTTAAAATCTCTCTTAGGTAGCAGTGTACAGTAGCGTACGGTGGCCATGGGTGATATTTTTGTACAATGAATAACCCCTGTGATATTACATGTATCAAAATTTAAAAATAAAATCAGCACTAAAATTGGTATATACATGATGAAGTGGACTATGTGGGCTTCATAATTTTTCAACAACAAAAAAATAGAATTTGGTTTAAGACTACATTTTGGCCATTTACAAATCTGTGTCTACACAACAAAAGCTAGCTTTTCATGTCTATTTTTGTACTCAGCCTATGTGTAAATACCAGTTGAACGACCTATGCTATTTTTGTTACCGAATAGGTGGTATTTAATTTGCGACAAGTTTTAAGAAAAAAAATACTACTTGTGTGGGTCAATTTTGGGTTAAAAATCATGTTTTTGTGTGTACATATTTTGGTGGTTTTTGATGTAGTAACCGTGGTTTTCACAAGTCCCAAATCTGGGGAAAACACATTTTGAAAAATAAATCATTCTTCTAAAATAAATGTTNTCTGGGGAAAACACATTTTGAAAAATAAATCATTCTTCTAAAATAAGTGGTAGGTGTGTTGTGCAGGATGAATCCAAAATCCATGTTTATCTGAGACATACATACCCTTTATTTTTAGGATCAGGCCATTTCTACTGTACTCTGCTACCTTATACACATGACATAGAAATGGAATTTTAATGCCTAAGGATGCTCTACACAAAATTTAGTTAAATCCCTCCATTCATATTGAAGAAAGATTTCAAAGATTTACCTCCATTTCTCGTATTGGGCCTAGCCCCAAGTGGCACACCCTTCTTTTAAACAAAATTTAGCCCCCTTTGCCTAAGGAGAGAGAGAAATTTACACACAGTCCTTCAGGAAAGTTTTATAGGGAGGACAAAAGAGGAGAGTAGAGGAGTACATACCTTCAGAATGAGGGAACAGTCCTTCAGGGAAGTTTTACACGGAGGACAAAAGAGGAGAGTACACTTTTGTTCTTCGCCGTGAGCTACTCCACCAGAGACGGGAGAAATGGACACCATTTCTCGCTTCTTGTTTCCTGTATTGAGTTCCCACTGGAAGTCAAAGTTAAACTTGCCAGAATTCATCACAAAGATGTTCCTGATCTGTTGCTCATTCACTTCAACCTAGAAAAACAAACAAAAAAACCCATCAGAATACACATTTACCTGTACTTTAGAACTGATGTATATATTGGTTTTATGATTTGTAATGTTAAGCAGGGATGACTGTTGTAGTGTTAGGCAGGGATGACTTTTGTAGTGCTAGGCAGGGGTTACTTTTGTAGTGTTAGGCAGGGGTGACTTTTGTAGTGTTAGGCAGGGATGACTGTTGTAATGTTAGGCAGGGGTGACTTTTGTAGCGTTAGGCAGGGATTACTGTTGAAATGTTAGGCAGGGATGACTGTTGTAGTGTTAGACAGGAATGACTTTTGTAGTGTTAGGCAGGGATGACTGTTGTAGTGTTAGGCAGGGATGACTTTTGTAATGTTAGGCAGGGATGACTTTTGTAGTGTTAGACAGGGATGACTGTTGTAATGTTAGGCAGGGGTGACTTTTGTAGTGTTAGGCAGGGATGACTGTTGTAGTGTTAGACAGGGATGACTGTTGTACCTAGACCTTATTACTGTGATTGAAGTGTTAGCCGATACCCTGGTCGTGTGATACCTAGAGCTTATTACTGTGATTGTAGGGTTAGCTGGTACCCTGGTCGTGTGATACCTAGACCTTATTACTGTGATTGTAGTGTTAGCTGATACCCTGGTCGTGTGATACCTAGACCTTATTACTGTGATTGTAGTGTTAGCCGATACCCTGGTCGTGTGATACCTAGACCTTATTACTGTGATTGTAGTGTTAGCCGATACCCTGGTCGTGTGATACCTAGACCTTATTACTGTGATTGTAG